CCTAGACGATCGTAAAGTCCGCCCATGACAAAGATGTTGGAACCCACAACATCATAGCTTGCCCATACGGGCATAGGCGGGAGTGACAAGATAGGGGCCAAACCTAACATGTTTGTTTTGTTTTTTCGGTTAAGAATGTACCAACGAGTAACATTGTTTTCGATTTCTAGGACATTAACATACATACAATATTCAGTGGAGCCGAGCAAAGATCGCCTCTTGTATAGTTCATCTGTCAACGAAATCAGAAATCGGAATTTCTTACACACGAGGGAGAGAGCTGCGTAGTTGAATCTCGAGACACGTGCTATAATGTCCATGATGAGGTCATGTGGAAGTGACATCATCATAGACGGTGATGTCTCATCATTGGCGACTTGAGAAAGCATTTCATACATATACAAAATTAAGCTCAATCAATAATCCTTACAGGAAAAATACTAACTCAAGTTTTGTTTTTTTTTTCTTTTGGGTTTTGCAAAATGTAGATATATAGAGGCAAAAATGTAGATGCATGTGGATGATGCTAAAATAAAGCATAGAGATGTGCAAATTAAATCTAGTGAGATCTTACAGTTATGAATTATGTTATATGTGAAAACCATTTGTCAAATGAGAAAATAAGGTTGTAATCTTTATTATAATTATTCACATATAGATTAATTAAATTTTATTCAATTTATTACTTAAAAATAACCTTGTGAAATTTTAATTTATAAATAGGCAAATTTGTTATAAATGTGATACTGCAATTTGTTCCTTCTTTTCTTTTTTTTACTATAAAATTATTAAACATATAAAATTTTAAAACAGACTTAAAAATATTTAATTTCAAAAGGATAAAATTGTTTTTCAAATTTATTGTAAATCTTATCTCGTTTTCTCCATTTTTAACTCCTTTATTTTGGAACTACATCTTCAAAATATTTTTCAAAGATTTTTTTTTTCATTTAACTCATTAATTTCTATGCTAATTTTTTTTACTTTTAATTTTATTAACTTCTTTTTTATATATGTAATTTATGACTACGTACTATGAAAACTTGAATAGAGCTCGATGTAGTTATGTTATTGACAATCATATATATAGTGATTACATAGAGAATCTCATAGGATCATATAAGGAATATTCACAAATGATATCGTAATTAATATAAGCAAAGATATATTTGCATATATCTTCTCTAACAAAATCCAAAATGTTATTTGCAAAGCTTTATTAAATGGGAAAAGGAGACTTAGTCAAATGACTTAGACCCCTAAAAAGGGATTCTTTAATTTTAATATTATGTAATCATATTAGTGATGAGGATAGTCTAATAGACTTATAAATGAGCTTGAATGGGAAGCGTACAAATAATGGATGATTTGTCAAAGTGTGAGGAACGCTAATTATGTCTCCATTCAGCCTTTATTATTTTTACTTTGCGTTTCTAAACTAAAAATAATATTTAAATCAATAACAGTATTTTGAACCACAAATGGTTCAATAAAAGTAGATCATTTGATCCACGGGTAATAAGGAGAGGATCAAGTGGTTCATGTGCATATTGAGATGTTTTATTTGCATTTATTTAAACTTTAATTAATTTGTTTTTTTTTTTTTGACATTAAATTTTGCATAATGAATTACTAAAATTTGGATAATCAAGTATTCAAATTTAGTTATTGATTCTATCAGTTTAATACTATAAATTTAGTAGATTTATGGATTTTGGGAGTGATCACCATATATAGTCACGTGACTTCGGTTTCTTCGGTTAGTTCGGTTCTTCAGTTTTTTTGAATTTTGAAAATCTTGCCGAAACTTGGGTAATTTGGTTCGTCGGTTAGTTCGGCTATTAACGAAAACTGGTCTTTTTTTTACAACAGCTATAATCCGGTTATTAAAAAAAATTAGTTAACCGAGAACCAAACCGAACTAAATTTTTCAATGGTGAAGGAGACGCAACATTTTTTTCATTTATTCAGAGATTTACTCGTCCTAGAAGATGTTAACTTGAAATCAAATTACAAGGACGAGTTGAAGAGGCAAAGATCTGATGATGGCATTTTCAGCTACATCTCCTGTTTTGCTAGTTTAAGTATCTAACTAGATTCGGACCCGCACGTTTGTGCTATGTTTGTAGACGTATTTATTTGGTATATGATTCATAATCCGAACTAATTAATATCAGTTAAGTATTCGGTTTAGACAAAATTTTCAACAAAATAGGAGGATTAATTAATAACATTATAATAATAACGAAAAAACCATAGGAAAAGTAATTATAGTTTAGTTAAGTGTAATCATTCAAATGTTTCGAGCTAGTATTAAACAAGAACAGCTAGACAATTAAATAAGTAAAAACAGCCATCAAGCAAAAGATCGCAACACTCAATCTTTCCCCAAATCTCTCCTCCTTCACGCCTTTCAACTGTGATCTCCACACACCAAATTTCTCTTATCGGAGCAAAGTCATCCTTCTCCAAGAACAATACTCCCTCCGTATTTATTTAAATGTCGTTTAAGAGTGTTTTTCTTGTTTTGAAATAATTGACGTTCTCGCATATCTAGATCAGTATTGCTATAAAATGACTTTTTGCCCTCAGTAATAATGACTTGCCGTAACATTTTCAATTGATTAAGTAAACATTAAAGACTGATGAGGGAGGTTATAATAGGTATTATCTTACTTTCCTTAATTTGTTGAAAAAATGGAAAACGACATGTATACAAAACCAGAGGGAGTATCAACTTTTTACCGCAACTAACCATATTTGAATTTGAACTTATTAAGGGGAATTTTTCGAGACCCTTAACCACTCCCCAAATTCTTTGCTTTAGATCATACGTTTTCAAAATATTTGTATCACGTTCATGACGATACAATACGTCGTCCATAACACATTCATCACAGTACAAATTATAATGCAGGATCTCATCCGTCTCCCATTTATTTTCTTGTGCATTGATGTGATGCTCATCTGCAGACCCCAAGTATAATTAGACAGTGATACCGGATCCGAATTCAAACATGTCCAGTTTTCGCATGCGTCCAATTGGTGCAAATGCTCATATCCCATAATGTATTAGCAAATTTTTGTCTTATTTCATACCAAAAAAAAGGTTTATTATTTCTGGGCCCAAATTTTAGCTAGATTTATTATATGACATGACTCAATGTTTTAACAAACTTAGAAATGAATTATTTAAATTTTGTGAATCCGCCAAACTGGTTATATATATAAAAAAAAAAAAACAAAAAACTTGCCTGTCACTGTTGAGAAGCTTTTGAACCACCTAGGATCCACCTCCGAGACTGGTTTTGTCCCATGCTCCCACGTTTCTGTTCGTGTATCAAACACCATGACAATTTCCGACTCCCATGTCATTAATGGTTCATCTACGGACCTTCCGAATACGTTTATCTTCTCGTCAATAACCTTAGATCTCACATTCCCAGAGAACGTAATCGGCATGTTGGCAACATGACGTGCTACGTGAGTTCGACAGTCAATGCATAACGCAGTAGAAGATGGTGGCCCATTAATATGATCGTAAAATCCACCCATGACAAAGATGTTGGAACCCACAACATCATAGCTTGCTGATAAGGGCATAGGCGGGAGTGACAAGATAGGGGCCAAACATGGCATGTTTCTTTTGTTTTTTTGGTTAAGAATGTACATACGGACAACATTGTTTTGGGTTTCTAGGACTCGAACATACACACAATATTCAGTGGAGCCGAGCAAAGATCGCCTCTTGTATAGTTCATCAGTCAACGAAATCAGAAATCGGAATTTCTTACACACAAGGGAGAGAGCTGCGTAGTTGAATCTTGAGACACGTGCTATAATGTCCATGATGAGGTCATCTGGAAGTGACATCATCACAGACGTTGATGTCTCATCATTGGCGACTTGAGAAAGCATTTCATACATATATAGAATTAGGCTCAATCAACAATATCCTGATAGGAAGAAAACAAACTCAATTGTTGTTTTGGGTTTTGCAAAATGTAGATTTATAGAGCCATAGAGGCAAGGGTAACTATACCTAGATGCATGGTCATAATGCTAAAATAAAGCATAGAGATGTGCAAATTAAATCTAATGAGATCTTACCGTTATGAATTATGTTATGTGTGATAACCATTTGTCAAATGGGAAAATAAGGTTGTAATCTTTATTATAATTATTCACATATAGATTAATTAAATCTTATTCAATTTATTATTTAAAAAATATGAAATTTTAATTTAGAAATAGGCAAATTTTCATAAAATTATAAAGTTTTCATAAAATTATAAAATTTTCATATGTGATATTGCAATTTTTTCCTTCTTTTTTTACTATAAAAGTATTAAACATATGAAATTTTAAAAATACTTAAAAATATTTAATTTTAAAAGGATAAATTGTCATTCAAATTTATTGAAAATCTTCTCTCTTTTTATCCATTTTTAACTCCTTCATTTTGGAATTAGATCTTCAAATTATTTTTTAAAGATGTTTTTCATTTTATTAATTAATTTCTATTGATTATTTTCTTTTCTTTTTTACTTTTAATTTTGTCAAGTTCTTTGTTATTTTATGTAATTTATGACTACTAAATTTAATTGATTTTTCACAAAATATTAAATGATACATCCAAAAATACAATTTCAAATTGCATTTAGTGATAGATTTTATCACATTTTACTTCACATTCGTACAAAATATATAACAAAGAAAATTATATTTTGAAATGTAAAATTATAACGGGGCATTTTACTTCATATTCGTACAAAATATTACGTCGCACAAACAATCATGAAAATTAAAATTATCGGAAGAAAAAAAATGATTGATTTAATGAAATTCTCAAACTCAAACAAACAGCTCACCATCTTGGCAGTATTTCACCAAACTCAAATAAAAACACTATACATGAAATTAATTCATCAACCTCAGAATTATGATACAGAAAACAGATCAGATAAAAATGATAACAATAATAAAATAAAATATTGAATATATATGTGGATGATTTATTATATATGATACTTTTTTTCTCAGAACTTGAAACCGAGGCTGGGCCATTTCTTAGCAGAAGACTCTTTCTTTGGAGGTCTTGCGTTTGGATCAATCAGATTCTGGAGCGACTTGGCTTTGTAGTTCCGCGACCGCCCAGCTTCCTTCAAAAGCTCGGCTAAACGTTTCTTCTCGTCCTCAAAATCCGGATTCGCAGTCCCGAGCTTCTCCTCTCTCAGCTTCAGAACCTGCTCTAATATCTCAATCGCATCCTCTATCCTGCAAATTACATAGCCATCACAAAGAAAGTCTTTAATGTTTTTGTTCAGTAGTTTTCACTAAGGATGTCTAATCTAATTTAACCAATCCAAACTGAACCAAAACCAGTTGGGCATTCCTAGTTTTCATATCGTATCAACCGGGTTTCGATTCCAGTTTAGGTAAAGAAACCGATCAAGTTCACACATTTTGACCCAAACCGGTTGTGATTCTGGTTTTGGTAAACCAGTAGATCATCAGTGTTATGTCAGATAGTTTTCTTTAATAAATTACCTTCCCATGGCGTCATAGGTGGCAGCCAAATTGCTGTAAACGCCGAGAGTGTCTTGATCGCATGGTCCACGTTCTTGTTCAAGAATACCTCTTGCTTCTTCAAACAGCTCACCCGCCTCATCAATCTTGAAAAGCTGAACGCAGGCTAGTCCCATCTGGTTTAATACAACACCGAAGAAGGCAGATTTCTCACCTGCTGCCCGTAGCTTTGTCACAGCACTCTCAAACGCGTTTCTTGCGTCCTCGTACCTCCCCAATGTGTAATACATAACTCCCATCCGTGCCTCTAATCCTGAAAGTATTTACATACAAAGCCAAACTAATGTAAAGGAAGCTTGTAGAGAATTGAAAATATGATGCTTATATAGCTGAAGACTCATATTTAGATTCATTTTCTTGTCTGATCACAATCTACTTCCCTATACTAAGGCCAAGATAGGCAATCAGATACTTAACACACTAATAATTAGGGTAAGCCTAAAACAGGTAGATTCAAGCCAAGCAAAACCAGTAACGTTAATTCAAGCCGCTTTTACTTATATGGGTGACAACACAAAGATCACTACTTCAAACCCAATATGAGACCAAAATCGCACAATTTCAAACACACTGCAATAGCAATCCAGCTAAAAGAACATTCATGGTTTTAAATAAGTTTTACCTGCAATGGCGCTCTGCTGTCCTGGTTTATCCTCAAGCAATTTCATCGACTTCTGAAGTAACTTCAATGCTTCCTCAGGTTCATCCACAGACTCATAAATAGCAGAAATCTCAGTTAATCCACCAGCAATCTCCTCCACAGTTGTCCCAGGCACTGGCTTGTTGTATATCCTCAACGCATTCTCACAGTAAGACTTAGACTCACGGAGTTTCCCTGTTCTATGGTAAAGCTCAGCCAATCTAACAAACACTGATGCAACCGTTGGATGAGTCTCTCCTTTAGAAGCCTTAAACACAGTGAGAGCCTTCTGATAAGAGAACACAGCTTCATCAAACCGGCACAGCGACATGTAAATATTCCCAATACTAACATCAATCGATGCAACCTCAGACTCTTGTCCACTCGCAATCATAGCCATACTAGCAAGAACAAGGTGCTCAAGCGCGTTTTCATAATCTCCTTTAGCCTCACAGATGATTGCCATCAGCCTCCTATCAGCTGCCTCCTCCAGCGAGGCAGGTTCACTATGCGCTCGGTGAATCTCTAGAGTTTTCTTGCATAACTCTTCCGCTTTATTGAATTGCATTGCCTGAACATATGCTTCTGCTAAGTACCTGAAATTATCAGAAACTTCAGAAACTTAGATCTAACCAAAACAGTAACTTTTAGCAAACGTAACCTAACACCGAATTAACCATTAAATGCTTAATTAAGAGAACAATCAAAGAGAACCTGCAAGTTTCTCCAACTCGTGGATCTGTATCGCCTAAAGTCTGGATCTGGATCTTAAGACCTTCTTCATAACAAGCAATAGATCTATCGATTTGACCAAGCATAGACAACGTATCACCAAGTTGCATATGACCAGAAAACGCAGCGAGAGAGTGGTCAGGACCACGAGTCGGGTCAGGGACCTGAATAGCTCGCTCAAGAGGTGGTACTGCTTCATCGAATCGACCGAGACTACAGTAAATAGCAGCGAGAACATGAAGACTCATAGCTAGGTCAAGAACAGGTCCACCATCGCTACCGCCGGGAATAGGCGGAGCAACGGCGGCGCAACATCTCTCAAACGATTTAGTTGCTCGGATCGCGTAATCTAATGCTTTATTAGGACCTTCACCAGAAGCAATAGCGTCACGAGCTAATTTGAGAAGGAAAGGACCGAGATCTGGATTATCTAGAGATGGATCGTCGACGTCGATTACGGCGGCGGCTGCGGCGGAGGAAGATACGGTTGGGGAATCTTTTTTGCCGGTGGATCTACCTGGTGATGGTTTGGATCGAGATGGTGTAGAGGAAGGAGTCTTCTTCATCGGAGTTCGCGGCGGGTTTGAGAGAGGTTGCGTGTCTGGTACGGCTACACGTAGCGGCGGTGTATCGGCTGGAGTTTTGACGGAGACGAGACCTGGCATTGCTGGCATGAATGTGGGAAGTGAGAGAGAGAGAGAGAGAGAGAGAGAGAGAGAGAGTAATGGCGGATTTGGTTTTGGATCGAATTTTGAGATCCAAGTGGAGAAGGAGACGAGTCAGTCAGTGAAAGAGGTAAGGGTAGTTTTGTAATATTGTTTTTGATTGGAGGACATAACGGTCATGTTGTTGGAAAATATTGGTAATAAATATTGAAATAGATTTTGTACTTAGTGAGACAAGTGATAGATAGATTTTACAAGATAGAGAAGTTTGCATGCCAAGGTTCCAAATTTTGTACTGTTCTTTGTTCTCAATCATTAAGTTTTTTTTGGGTTTTATTCAAAAAAAATCTCAAAGTCCTCAGTTTTTACAATTTTACCTTTTACTTCCAAAAAATGCAGATTAATTTTATGAACTTAAAAATAATACGGAATTTAACCATTTTTCGTTATAGTCAAGTTCTTAAAATTTTGGTAACTAATATATCGAATCAAAGCCATCGAGACGAGGAGTTCTGCGATACCTTTAGAATTTTAAAAATCAAATGCATGTGATCATGAAAACGTTTACAATACATGTTTAAGAGCTAAATTGCGTATTATTTTTTACTTCATAGGATTATTTTACACTTTTTATTAAGAACACAAAAAAAACTATTTTTTTGTACTATCACTAAACCACATACATTTGATTTTTAAAATTCTAAAGGTAGAGTTGTACTATCCTTTTGGTAACTCAATCTTTTTTTCTCGTTAAAAATAATTATTATAATATGTTATTCTATGTTTTTATAAATGTTTTCGTAAATTCAGTGATACATAACAAAGCTAAGAATTAAAAAACAAAGTAAGAATATTTTGATCCATTAAAAAATAGGAATACAAAAAAAGAACTAAAAAACACAATTACTATAACATTGAAAAAAAAAATACTTACAAATGACTTAATGAGTACAAATAAAAGGAATAAAAGCATAATTATCACTTTGGTCGATACATGCTTCATCATCCTTCGTTGTACTCGGACACTAGGTAGTTGCAGTGGTAGGTAATCACCGTCAAAAACAATGTTCGACGTTTCTCACAAATTGTTTTAACCATTACGATACTGCCAAGTGGAAGTGACAGAGTAGATAGACTCGTGCCAGCTATTAAAGAAATAACTTTAAAAAATGTCTGCTTGGTATTTTGGTAATGATGGACCAACTAATAAATTAAGACTTTTAAACATTATATATTAGGGAGATATAACAGAAAGAGAACCAAAACCAGCTAGGTTATTGTTGTGTCGATCCATAGATCATGTGGTAAGATACTCTTGACGGTCCATGTCACCAAAATTAGGAGCAAACTTTTATATCTAATTCTAATTTATGTTTGGGTGTGACTTCATACTTCGGCCCATTATTCCTACCCATTGGGCTTGAAATTTGGCCCATCGACGGAGACTTGAAGAAAGCCACAACGCTTGTTTGCTCATCCTAAATTTCTTCACCGATTCCATGGAGACTCCTAATTCTAGCCACTGGTCGGATCTTCCTTTCGATATCTTGAGATCTCTATTCGAACGTTTGAGTTTTGTAGATTTCCACCGCGCTAAGATCGTGTGTACGAATTGGTACGTGTGCTCGAAACAAACGTTGCACAAGAAAAGGAAATCTCCATGGCTGATGCTGTTTCCAGAAGATGGTTGTGTGTTGTACAATCCAGAAGAAGATAGGGTTTACAAGACAAAGAGAGACTTTTCCAAGACTCGATTCCTAGCAAACTCAGGTAACTTGTTCCTCACGCTAGATTCTGAATCCAATCTCTATATCATAGATTTGTTTAGCGAGAAGAGAATCAATCTCCCACCTCTAGACTCAATCAAAGGCCTTTTTACTCTTAAGCGAATAGGAGATAAGGGATTCGACGAGAGATTAACTAGTGGTGGCTTTACTGGCTTAGGTTACAGCAACCGTAGTGTGGTAGATCTGAGAGGTCTTTTGTGGGTAGACGATAAGACAGAAGAATACACTGTTGCGTGGTTTTTCTATTCACGTGTCAACTATATAGCTATTTGCAAGAACGGAGAAGATCATTACCGTACCATTCCAACAGGAAGCATTGCTCGCAAAGAGTTACAAGGCTTGTCTGATATAGTACTCCGGGGTGACATACTTTACATCTACACAATTCGTCGATTCATTCGAATACTGCATTTGTCTAGACAAGAAGGTTTCAATGGTATTGTATCCAACAGTGGTCTATTAAGGCCACCTTCTCCTCCGAGTAGTGATGATGATACCACATCTGATGGAACAATTTCTAGCCATAACATTGTTGTTACAACATTAGGAGAGGTTTTGTTGGTCGAGAGCATCGTTTATGAAGTAACCTCTGCAAAACCTAGGATCAGCTTCCGCCTCTATAAGGAGGTTCCTAATCCAAATCCGGATAAGCTTATATACAGACCGAATGTGTATGTTAAGGTAGATTCTATAGGCGATGAGGCTCTCCTTTTGGATTTAGGTATCACTGTGCCTGCTGACCATAGCCTTGGTATCGAACCAAACTCCATCTATTTCACCCGTCATGACCGTATCCGTAACTGCAAAGAGAAATTTTCATGCCGGGCCCGATACATCTGTGTGTTCAATCTTGGAACAAAGAACCTCACACGCTTCCCCAGCCTCTCTCACTTAAAGCCAAAGGATGCTCGATGGTTTATCCCGTCTTAATTTGCTTATTTCTGCCTTTATTCCTTATGTTATGTCCTGTTATTTGTCTATGTGATCTACTATTTGCCAACAAAGAATACACTCAAATGCTTCCCCATGGATTCTTCCTAGCTCATGATTTGTTTTATTTTTCCCCTTTTTATATGAATGTGAATTTCATTAAGGAATGGAGAGGTGTTGTAATTACTTAACAAAATTTGCTTAACCAGCTCACAAGGCTTTGCCTGCCAAATAAACAAAACAAAAAAAAAGCCTTACAGATAAAATAAATTTCCTTAGGACTCCTCGTTGTTGTGCTCTAGCCATATGACATAAATAGTTGCTTGCGAAACTAAAGATACGAAGAAGTTGTGGTTTTTCTAGGGCTGTTGATGAGAGTCTATGGATACTAACAGCTTAAAGATTCTAAACTCTTGTCTGTATTCACAAAGCAAACACGCATTAATAATTAAGTCTGATTTGTCTCTATCACTAACTCTCGTTGTCATACATACACATGCTCGTCCTAGCAATCTAACAACAATTTTGGTGAGTAGCTTTAGTCTAAAATCAAAATCTACATGATCAAACTAGATTAAGCAATAAGAACAACAATTGACGAAGAATCCAACTAATAGTTCCCCTATCTAGCAATCACATTATAACAAAGTGTATAGCTTTGCGGTTGGACAAAAGATTGGAGAAGAATGAAACACTCTTATTGCAACAGAGGGTCGCAATTCCTCAAAAGAAACAAGGGCTATATTAATTTTAAACCACAATTGACCAAAAAATTAAGAATCTACCCATAGTTTTTATATTATTAGTTCTCTCTCCTCAACTTCTGTAAGTTAGACAAAAATGTCCCTCCGCATATAACAAATTAGTTAACAATATAATTAAATAGTTATCGACGTTTCTTATTTGATTCTGAATAGATTGTCCATCAAATATCTGAGTAAGAATATATGATGAGTTAAATGATTATCTATTGGTTTAACACGATAACAAAATATATATCAATAAATTTATAAATATATCGTGTTAAAACATATTGTATCGCGATAAGTTTATAATTGATATGATAAAGTTTATATTATTATAGAAAATATTTATGAAAAGATAGTAGATATATAGATAATATTTATATTAACGTGTATAACGATGTTAACATGATAACAATAAAAGTAACATGTGTTACTCTAGTTCTGGTCACCGACGAGGCAAACCCAGAAAACAACACAATTAAGTTTTTTGACCGCCATTGTCAAATCTTCAATCACCACAGCTCCTCCGTTCCTATTTTCGTCTCAACTCACCACTCCATTTGATCCAACAATAATTGATAATGAGGTTAACGTAATAATGATGAAAATAACTAGCAATAAAAAATAACAAGTTTTGTTGTAGATCTGCTCACCGATGAGATAGATGGAGAAGACGGCAGCAATTATAAAACTCTTAAGCCATCTCACCTTCACCGACGCCACCATAAAATCCTTTTAGATTTTCGCACCTCTCCTACGTCACATCACCTTTTTTTTTCCAAACTCATCACCACCGATAATATAATCATCATCACTATCGTCGTAAATACCATCTCCATCATCGTTAAGAACCCAATAGTTTAAATAGGAATGAGCACCACTTACAATCACGACCGTGGCGGCCGTCACTGAATCGGAATAGAAACCACCACAAAATCAAATCGACCATGCATCTTTTAAACACACAAGTTTGTCTCCTCTCTTCCTCCTACATCATCACCACCGTCTTTTATTCTGATGTTGTCATCACCATCAAGTTCTACAATTTTATTTTACAACGATTTATTGAAAATTGTTTTTATTTGGCTGTTAGAATTTATGTTTATGTCAATTTTGATGAACACTTCGACAGAGAATGGGGCAAAGAGAGAGAAAAGCTGAAAAATTAAATAAATTTTTTAAAAAAATAAATGAGGACAACAACGTAAAATCCTTTACACAATATCTGACCAAACAGTATTTATTTGTGTCAGTTAATTTTTAAGTCTTCCATGGGTACAGATTGATAATACCCAAGAAAGAAACAAAGATTCTAGTTCTGAAAACGGCTAGATTTTTTGTTTAGGATATTTATAAAAAGAAAAATCAAAACAAAAATTGCGCATCCAGGGAATCGAACCCTGGTCAGTACCGTGGGAGGGTACTATGATACCACTACACCAGATGCGCTTTCTATTATACATTTCCTCATAACCAAACTTATCCCTAAACTATTTTTCAATCAACATTTTTTTTTTTAATAACCTTTTTTCAATCAACACAACATATTTCTGCATCGCCTCATCGTCAAAAAAATCCCCAAATTCGTTTCTCTTCGATTCAAAATCCCTCCCCAAAAATACGATCTCGAATCTTTTCAGATTCCAATCGAAATCGAGAAGCCATGGATAACAGCAGCAGCATCAATTCCACCGCTTCCACCGCCTCAAATCTAAGCACGGCTTCCCTCGAAAAGCTAGATCAAGCGGCGAGCTGGGTCAGCACCACCGTCATCTCCGCCTTCTTCGCCTCCCTTGAGCGTTGCTCATGCGTTAATCTATCTACCTCTGATGATGATGATGACGGAGAAGAGTCTCACAACCGTCCTCTTGCTCTCTCCGCCGCTACTCACCCAGACGACATCGTTTAGTTTCCTTTTGACTCATCCTCCTCCGGTAATTTTTTTTTTTTTGGGTTTCTTTTATTAATCGGTGATGTGGGTCTTTTAGGAATGTATCTCCGATGTATGATGCTATGAAAAAGATCAGACCTTTTGAATTGTATATGCAAGATTTGGTGTTTCATTTGACATCTTCTTTAAATGTTTATGTGTAAACGTTTATGACTATTACCTTGCGTTTGAACGGTTATGGTTGTGATTTGTGAAGTTTATTTATATATGCTTGATTTTGGCTTTCGATTTTTCGAGCGATTTTGTAGATTCTCTTGTTTATACTTGCTCATCTTCTGTTAAGAACCAGTAGGGGACATAGTTAGTCGGGCGAAAGATTCAACTGCGTTGATGATCCGATTGTGAGAATATCTTGTGTGTGATTAATCTTTTGAGAACTTTGCTTGTGTATCTTTCATAATCATTGGTCTTTTGTTGGTGATGTTTTACACATAATCTGGCTTCATTCTTTCTTGTTTTTGGTTCGAGGTGATCTTTAAGTTTGTAGGGATTTAGTAGTATGTAGAATGTAGGCCTGGGCACTCAGTTCGAACCGAAATAAACCGAATTTGAGGTTTCATCTTCCTACTAGAATGTATTGATATTAGTACGTACATCTTTTATCATTTGTTCCTTAGCTAACTTTTGGAGTGTATACAACTTTTTCTCAATCTTACATTTGATCTGACGTCAACTTTAGAAACAAAGAATGCAGTTTGGTTTTCCAATTTCATTGTTTTGAGAAGCCTTTCTTATTACAAAAGAAGTATTGCTTTGTAGGTAGATCGGTTCATATAAATATAGTTTTGCTTAGTAGTCCAATGATGAGTTGCAATGAGATTTACACTCATCGTTCCAATTGCTAAAGCAGTTTGAAGTTGCTATGTTGAAGCACAATTAATTACCCTGAGGACTACATTAGGTTTTCTTTTTGTTTTTAGGATCATCATCAAAAGGTTTTGGGAAAAACAAAGGTTTCTGAAAGTGTTTTGTGTTTTTATGTATGATTTTGTCATATTAGTTACCAATGAGCTTTCTCAATCCCTCTTCCTGAAATTTGAGGTTTTTGTCCAAAAACTTGGCATGATGGTTTCAAGAAAACCTGATAAAATGGCGTTTTCTAATTTCTCTGTTTTTGGGTACTCAACAAAGTACATGTGCAAGGAGGTATTTGCTTTTGAAAAAGAAGTATCAAATTATTCATTCAGCTTCCTTTAATTTTATTAATTGAAAAAGCAAACATCATGTTTTCTGCCGCAAACAAATCTTGATTGGGACCATGCATTTTGAATTACTTCTCTTTTTGTAAGAAAATTATAATACTTTTGTTGCGGTTCAAATCAAAGCAAGAAGAATAATTTTCAATGCTTAATCTTCTTATTCTTAGGCCCGACTGATTCTCTATCTCTATCACTAAGAAACTCATTGATCTTATACTCACAACCAATGGCTTTGTCAACATATCAAAGCTTGGTCCTTCGCTGTCTTCACCTTTACTTATTACGTTTAAACACAGACCGCACTATTTATATCATAAATCAGGATCAAAGTTACAAGAGTCAGGAGCTTTATATGTCACTCCTATTAGAATCCAGAATTACAATGAAGCAGCAAGCTATTCAAGGAAGATGAAAGTATGAAACAAGATTACAAATGTGAGAATTCACATGACTTGGATCTCTCCTCTCGGTATACGGTTGAAATTATCGGGTTATCTTCCTTGGGTCTAGTTTCAAGGCATTGTGAGTGAACTGTGAATTGAACAACGCTACTATCCATCTTCATTCAACCTTTGGAAATAAGCAGACCGGCTTGAGGAAGAAGAAAGGCTTGGAACTTCGAATTTCTTAGCGACATCTGCATTTCCAGTTTCCCGAATCTTGAAAACGATATACTACATTCAATGGTCAAGATTTACAATTGCAAGTCTATCACATCTTTCCAACAACCTTCTCTTTGCAGACTTACTTCTATAACACCAAACCTCAAAAGCTTCACTCAAATCTGGAAACTTCACACCTTCCAACCCAATCCCTCTCATCCATTCCCCAAATACTTCTGCTTGGTCGTTCGAAGGCAACGTCAAAACCAAAGACACCATCGATCCTTCTATGAATTCGCAAAGATCTTCATCCATTCTGTACTCACACTCAGATCCTTCTGCATCAACCAAAGTCTTTAATCTCCTTATGAAAGGCAACCATATCTTCAGAAGACAAGTCCGGCTTTTAGATGGAACAATCACAATTCCATAACCTACCGCTTCTAAAATCTTCCCTGTAACCTCAACTAGCTTAACTTTCACACCCAATATCCTAGAATCTAACTTACACTTCTGAGCAATCACAAGAATCTCACTCGATACATCGGTCCATTTAAAGACAAGATCTTTCATCAACTCCATCCTTGGCAATACTTTGCATAGCCACTCGATATCATAGAGTGTTTTAAGAACACTAAACTCAGTACATTCAGGAATAATCACAAGCAAAGATGATAATCTATCCAACAACATCGATATAACATTTGAGATACCTAATCTTACAACCGATTTCACTTCCTCTTCAGTAATCAGTAACCGTACCTCTTCGTCTTCCGATAACATGAACTCCACTTGTTCTTGAGCTGAAGTTTTGAGCTCATGAACAAGCTCAGGAGAGTTCTTTAATGTATCAATGGACATAGCGAAACGAAGAGCTGACGAGAAGACATTCTTCGTATTGAGTGATACATCAATGACAGCTTCCTGCATTTTCCGATGTTTTCGATGTTTTTAACTGCGAATTCAAATCAAGAAACACATTTAAGTATATCATCAATAACAATAATCCTATATCGAATTCAAAGGCCTAAACTTTTCTATAATCAGCAACTCTAATTACAGAAACATCAAACCAATAAGAACACAATTACCAAATTCGTAACTAAAATTTCCTTACTTTCATCAATTTCCCAAATCCGAAAGCAAGAGATGAACCCTAATTAGCATTGAATAGCTCTGTTTTCGTCAATCTAATCACATTTTACAGAGTAATTAAGAAAACAAATAAAGCAGAGAAAAGAACTCACTTTTTCTCCAATAAAAATCTTCCTTTTTAAGTTTAACAACAATGGAGGATAATAAAGAAGATTGCTTTGAATAAAGTGAAGAAGAAAGATTGAAACTTTAATTTAAAAAAAAAAAAAAAAAGATTGAAACTTTATCAATCCACAATCCCAAATTGGATCTTAATCAAACCGGTTAAACTAAACCGGTTCGAATTTGGTTTATACGAAAACGACGTCGTGTAATAGAAGGGTATTTCGGTAATTGCATTCAAGGCCATCGTCATTGTCATTGAATAGATCAACCATTTTACTCAAAGAACACAGTTTTCTAGATTCTAGAGAGATAAGAGTGAGAGAGAAGAGAAGAGGAGAGAAGATCCAAAAGCGTGGGAAAATCAAATTAGGGTTTTACGATAATGGTTGATACTGTCGACAAATTAGGTTACTTCCAAGCGATTACAGGTCTTGAAGATGCCGATTTGTGCACTGAGATCCTTCAAGCTCATGGTTGGGACCTAGAACTCGCAATCTCTTCATTCACATCTTCTGATCATGACGCTTCGTCTTCCGCCGTCGATGGTGGTAACAATCACGATCACGATAACGCCGCCGTGACTCCTGATTATCAACCTCGTGGGATCGTTGACGATACAGAGCTTGTTATGCGTGATGATGGAGGAGACAATCGAGGTCCAGGAGTGGCGTGGAGGATTATTACTTTACCGATTTCGATTGTTTCTGGTAGCTTAGGGTTAGTTTCTGGAGCGATCGGGTTAGGGATTTGGGCTGCTGGTGGTGTTTTATCGTATTCCTTTGGTATGTTAGGGTTTAGATCAGGGAGAGGTGGTGGTTCGGCTGATTCGTCGTCGGCGGCTCGGCTTGTTTCGGTTTCTTCGGCTGCTGGTGAAGCAATGGAGTTTGTTGCTTTGTTTGATAGAGATTATTGGAGTAATAATAATGCTTTTAAGATTGATTTTGTAGTGGAAGGATTTATGGATGCGCTTCAGCGATCTAGGAGCTCGTTTAAGCTCTTGTTTGTTTACTTGCATTCTCCAGATCATCCTGATACACCTGTGTTTTGTGGTGGGACGCTTTGTAATGAAGCGGTTGTAGCGTTTGTTAATGAGAATTTTGTTTCGTGGGGAGGTAGTATTCGATCTAGTGAAGGATTTAAGATGAGTAATAGCTTGAAAGCATCGAGGTTTCCGTTTTGCGCTGTTGTTATGCCTGCTGCTAATCAGAGAATTGCTCTTCTTCAGCAGGTAAAGACACAGTCATTATTGTGTTTGAACATATATTCTTTTATGGTCATTCTTGAATTGCTCTTCATTGATTAGCTTATATCTTAGACAATGAGTGAAGAAGCAATTTATCAACTTTAAGTAGACTTGGTTATGAATTGCTCTGCATTGGAATTGAATCCATTATACTATCTTGTTAAAGTGATTATTAGTTTGTTTCTGCTTTCATCTGTTACCCGGCATGTCTTACATTTAGTGTAAACTAGCTTTTATGTGTTTAGTAATGTGTTGTGTGGCAGGAAACGTAGTTCTTAAGTTTATCGTGTTTTTTGTTCTGTTTGCTTGTGACAGGTCGAGGGACCAAAATCTCCAGAAGAAATGCTTGCTATACTCCAGAGAGTAGTAGAAGATAGTTCACCTACTCTGGTAACTGCTAGGGTTGAGGCGGAAGAAAGAAGAACCAATCTGCGTCTGAGAGAGGAACAAGATGCTGCTTACCGGGCTGCTCTTGAAGCCGATCAAGTATGTTCCCCTTTTTTTGTAGGCCCGCCCAGAATTTACAAGATCTTATGATTAGTCTTTTGTCTAAATTTGTGGCATTTTTCTTTCTGCTGATAAGGCAAGGGAGCGAGAGAGACGGGAAGAGGAAGAGCGTTTAGAGAGGGAAGCTGCTGAGGAAAAAGAGGCTCAGGAGAGAGCAGAACGTGAAGCTGCAGAGAAAGAAGCTGCTAGAGTGAGAATGAGACAAGAGAAAGCACTTGCTCTTGGAGATGAACCTGAGAAAGGCCCTGATGTTACACAAGTAAGTTCTCCTTCTTCCTCGGCTATGCATTACTTATTCTTTTCTCACACAGTCACTTATGAAAATAACATCAATCTATTTCATCTTTATTGATTTCGTTTGTGACAGATATAGAATTTGGTTCCTCTTTATAGTTTCGGTTCTTTGGTTGATTCTCATTGATCATAGGTCTGAAAATTTGCGTTCTTTTGACTTTGGGCTATGAGAATATCTAGGAGCGGTCTAGTTTATGGTATCTGCGAACTGTTTATTTGACCTGAAATGTAGGTTTTAGTACGGTTCCCAAATCTTAGTGCCTCTTTAAAGATTAGGTTCTATCATGGTTGATTCTCATTGATCAAATGTTCTGAAAATTTGTTTTCTTTTGACATGAGGCTATGAGAATGGTCTGATTTATTTCATCCATGAACCGTTTATTTGCCCTGAAATATAGGTTTTGGTACGGTTCCCGAATGGAGAAAGAAAAGGGAGGATGTTTAAGAGCGAAACCAAGATCCAGACATTGTACGACTACGTTGATTCACTTGGAGTCTTAGATACAGAAGAGTACAGCTTAATCACAAACTTCCCAAGGACAGTGTACGGAAGAGACAAAGAGTCAATGTCACTAAAAGACGCAGGTTTGCATCCTCAGGCAAGTCTCTTCATCGAGATCAACTAAAAACTGCTGATTCTTCTGCTTCTTTCTCCTTTAGCCCCTCTTATTTTTTTTTCAGGTTTTCTCTATTAAGATATTTAGTCTGTTGCTTCAATGATACATTGGACGAGATATTACATATATAATATACACACATATATTCAGAAGTTGCGCGTCATGTTGATATGTTTATTTCTTAAAGCCATGAATTCTCTTCTTTTGTCACCTACCAGGTGAAACTAATTAGATGAAGTTATGACTATGTCAGTTTATACATACTAGTTAGGTCTAATAATTCATCGTTGCTCTTTTTAACAAATTTCTTTCGAATTATCTTTTCGTGATTCTCCATTTTCCTTTTGCCTATGCTTCTTCCTCGAATGACATCTAGCCGATACCGATTCGATTTCTAGAGACTGTCTTGAGAGAGAGAGAAAACTCTTTCACTATGTAAACCTAATTTGCATGCTCTCCAATTGTATCCAACATTGACGACGAGTCTTGTAGCTTACTCTAACGTTGATTGGGCTGCCTATTCAAGCACAAGGAGATCAATTTCCGGCTACTATGCCTTTCTCCGGGAAAACTTAGTCTAATGGTCCTTCAAAAGCCAATAACTAAGTTTGCGATCCAGGACCAAAGCCAAATATAGAGGAGCTTGCAAACGGCGTCGCCGAACAATGTGAATCCAAAATTTCAATCTTGAACTCCACTCTCCACTCTCCAAAACAACAATTGTTTATTATAGCATCAGTGCGGTCTACCTTTCCACTAACCTAATTCAGTGCCAATTCTCCAAACATGTGGAAATTGACATTCATTTTGTCCGTGACCATGTAGAACATCGAGACGTTTCAAAGTCGTTGCAGATTTAGCCGCATCTGAATGATTTGTTTTAGGTATTATTTATGGGGAATCTGGTCAGATCATGAAGCCTTGGTCTCTCTTTTAAGTGTGTTACCCTGAATTCGCTATAGGAGGTTTCTGTTATCGTTGGTTTGTTTCGCACAACTTCATCGGTAATTATCTATATAAGGTTCTCCGGGAGTGTTAGTTGTTTTGCAGGCCATTTGTCTTTGTCAATTCTCGGTTTCATCGACATTGCTTTATCCTTATTTAGGTTTCTGATTTCCTTTTGTCTTCGGAGACATTATGTTGTCCGCCGACTTAGTTTCCGAGATTTTAAACATGTATCATCGTTCTTGTAATCATTTCATGATTTCCTATAATATATTTTTGATGACAAAAGAAAATATGAAAGAAGAAAAAAAACCACGTTTACATACTGCTTAAGAAAACATATAAAGTCAAAATATTACGACATGTAAACATAATTGAAACTAACAAATCACATGTGATCCCAGATTTTTCACATGGTAGCTAGGCTAGGCTCACCTCTAATTAAAATAGCAAATGGAATTATCTATTATGTTTTATGTATGTGATCTCAGATCCCATCCATATTATTATAGGCTATCGGAGATAAAGAAAATAGAGGTAACAAACAAAAAAAATAATCTATTAGATTTAGTTGGTGACCAAATGATGTTAGCCAACAAGTGGTTATCGTTTCGCTAAACACATTTTTTTTCTTGACCATTCCAAATTTTTTTTTTTTTTGGGCAAAAAAAAAAAAAAAAAAAAAAAAAAAAAAAAAAAAAATTAAACAAACTAATTTCTTGACCACTCCGGTTTAAGAAGATTGATTTGAGTCTTTGTCTCTTTGAGAAATAAACTAAAAGCAGCAAGAAAATGACATGAAAGGTATTGGATCTGCCAACGTGACATTATGAGAGAATGGGTCATACTAAATTCCAAATAAGATTCTTTCTGAATTTGGATTCTCCTCCTCCATATGTAATATAATTTGGAATCTCAAGAATTGCTTGTAACTTCTTTTTATTCTTTGTAACGTTTTATTTAGAACATTAATTTGCAAAACTTTTACCGAAATGAGAAAGAGCAAATCTGTAAATAATTAATATTTATGTCGTGTGTGACTTAAATAAATAGGGTGAAATAAATTTATTTGTTTGAAATATGATTTATGAAAGACATATTGCATTAAAATTAACAAAAAAAAAAAAAAAAAAGACATATTGCATTAAGACTGTGCATAGGTAGCTTTAGTATTTATTTCAACAATGAATACAAACCCACCATTAGATTAAAGATGATAGACCGATAACCATTTAAAATATTAAATATTGGATAGTCCTTTTACCTTTTAGTTATAATTGGAAAAGATATGAAATAGTATATAGCTAAATTTTTGTAAGAATTTGATGTAAAAGTTTTTTTTTTTTGCTAAGAATGTAAATATTCATTGATAATAAAAATATTTAGGTTTACAAGGAAAGGCATGGAAGCAAATTCAGAACTCAAACTCAGTCCATCAACTCAACAAAAGTAATAAAACTCAAATGGAAATATATATATATATATATATATATATAATTATTGAATGAAAATCTATTGAAAACAAAAAAATAGTAAGTGTCAAAATTAAATAAGAAGAAAATATACATTAGACAGTTGTTGGAAATTAAATATATATATCCAAATTGTCATTACACAAAATTCGTTGACAGAAAAAAAAAAACAGACATTATTTCAAATGGGCCAACTCTTCAAGACGTGAAGAAGACTAGAAGATAGTTTGTCAGATTCACATCTCAAAGAAAAAAAAACAGAGCAAGAAGAAGAAGAAGAAGACAACCATGGAAGAATCAGAACAAGTTCTTCCTCTATGTAACAACAATTCTCAATTTTTAAATATTTTTCTTATAATTTCAATTGTTCTCACAAACATTTTTCGAAACAGTAACAAATCCCAAAGATCTGCCAAACCAATCCTCTGCCTCATCATCTTCATCATCGGAACCAAGAGATGAAACAGAGGATCTTCATTTACCAATCTCCGGCGAAGAAGAAGAAGAAGAAGAGAACTCACCAATCCGACAAGTAGCACTCACTGTTCCAACAACAGATGATCCTTCATTACCTGTCTTAACATTTCGCATGTGGGTCTTAGGAACTCTTTCTTGCATCCTCTTGTCGTTTCTCAATCAATTCTTCTGGTATAGAACAGAACCTCTCACTATCTCCGCCATCTCCGCTCAAATCGCCGTCGTACCACTTGGTCGTCTTATGGCTGCTAAAATCTCTGATAGAGTCTTCTTCCAAGGATCAAAGTGGCAATTCACGTTGAATCCAGGTAACACAAAAATTTGACTTTTTTTTTTTGTTGAATAACTAAGAGATTCTTGGTCTAAGTCCGTATATCCCCTCAGACCAGAGATCAGAGTATTTTATATAATCCTTTTCCAAGTGTTACTCGAACCGGCGACCTCTAGAATTTGACTTTTTTTTGTTAGACAGAAATCTTCCCGAGATTCGTCAAAACTCAGATATTCTTGTCCTTTAAGACGTCTAACTATGATTGAAATCGAAATGGATATGGTTATAACCATTAGACCATCCAAAAACTGATTTTGAACCATTCTTGATTTATTTCAGGACCGTTTAATGTGAAGGAGCATGTGTTGATCACTATTTTCGCTAACGCCGGAGCTGGATCTGTTTACGCAATACACGTTGTTACAGTCGTGAAAGCGTTTTACATGAAGAACATAACGTTCTTTGTGTCTTTCATCGTTATTGTTACCACTCAAGTTCGAACTTAACCTTTTTGATTAGTTTTTTTTTCTTGGAATATTTGGAGTTTGAACGAGTTTATGGTTTCTGATTAGTTAAGTGTGATTGATGTTTAGGTGTTAGGTTTTGGTTGGGCCGGAATATTCAGGAAATACCTCGTTGAACCGGCGGCGATGTGGTGGCCGGCGAATCTTGTTCAAGTCTCACTATTTAGGTAAATAAATAATAATACACTCAATAATCACTAGAGTGTGTTTCACGTTTTAGCTCAAGTTTTCGATATTTTCTATATACAATACAAACAAAAGTAAAGGGGGGAAATAATTGTGTTTTGGCCAAATGTCATAAAAATTGAAGATGCCATACAATAATAAATACTAGATAAAATATTCCATTCCCACCTATTTTAAAAAATATTTTTATATTTATAAATAATACGACAAAGTTAATCTTTGAATATAATATGGAGACATATATGTTTCGTTGTAATATGGGCATATACTGTTTTTGTAAAGTAAGTGAAAAAATAATTAAATTTTTTATCTTTTATGTTATTAGGTTTCTATAGAATGTGATGTTAATACTAAAAAAATATCATGGGACCAAGTATTATCAGAAGTCTTCGAAAATAAACATCATGATATCTTTTTCAGATAAAGACATTTTTGTACGTAACTACTAGAAATATATTCATTTTTCTCATTTATGTGGTGTAGGTTATACAAATGGGTAATATTTTCGTATAACTGGCTTGTTGAATCTAACCAAACTGAACATAACCACATTTAGAAGCAAAAGACATAAATATGTCTCTATTCTTTAACAAACACAAAGAGACATATAATTCTATCTAACACATTGATGTTGTCGTTGGCTAAATTGTCAGAGCTTTGCACGAGAAAGAAGAACGGACCAAAGGAGGGCTGACACGTACACAATTCTTCGTGATAGCATTCGTTTGCAGTTTCGCTTATTATGTCTTTCCGGGCTACTTATTTCAGATCATGACTTCGTTGTCGTGGGTTTGTTGGTTCTTTCCATCATCAGTTATGGCCCAACAAATCGGGTCCGGTCTTCACGGGTTAGGTGTTGGAGCCATAGGACTCGACTGGTCAACCATTTCTTCTTACTTGGGTAGTCCACTCGCTAGTCCATGGTCAGTTCTAAACTCACTCCGGTTTACTCATTTCACTAAGTCATAAAAGTATGGAGATGGTCTAAGTCATAAAAGTATGGGTCGAGATAAACCGAAATTGGTTTATAAATCATATATAACCCGGTTTATGAGCTTTATGTCCAGCAAATTGAATTTATTCTTAAAATTGAACCAAACAAAATTCCGGTTCCAATTTGTCATAAATTCTTAATATGGAATAAACCGAATAACCAAATAACCGGTTTGGTTAGGTTCAATTTAGTTTGGTAATTGACATTGCAATAACAAAAATGCTTTATATGTTTTTAATAGGTTTGCTACGGCTAATGTGGGTGTGGGATTTGTGCTGGTGATATATGTCTTGGTACCAATATGCTATTGGCTCGATGTGTATAAGGCTAAGACCTTCCCTATATTTTCGAGCTCTCTTTTTACGAACCAGGGTTCAAAGTACAACATCACATCCATTATAGACTCTAATTTCCACCTTGACCTCCCATCTTACGAGCGTGAAGGCCCTTTGTATCTTTGCACTTTCTTCGCCATTAGTTACGGTGTTGGTTTTGCCGCTTTAAGCGCTACCATCATGCATGTTGCTCTCTTCCATGGAAGGTACAAACTCATTCATAACAATGTATCAAAACCAATTTCTCAAAAACTATATGTAAAAATGTTTAGATTTGGGACATGAATTTTTTTTCAGGGAGATATGGGAGCAAAGTAAGGAGAGTTTTAAAGAAAAGAAATTGGATGTACACGCGAGGCTAATGCAAAGGTACAAACAAGTTCCAGAGTGGTGGTTTTGGTGCATACTCGTTACCAATGTTGGAGCCACAATCTTTGCTTGTGAGTATTACAATGACCAACTTCAATTACCATGGTGGGGTGTTCTATTGGCATGTACCGTCGCCATTATCTTTACACTTCCTATTGGTATCATCACCGCCATCACCAACCAGGTAAAAACAAGATCTAAATTGAATATAATTACGATATAATCAAGATTATCTCAAATGATAAAATATATTTTGTAGGCGCCAGGATTGAACATAATTACAGAATATATCATAGGATATATCTATCCAGGATATCCAGTTGCAAATATGTGCTTTAAAGTATATGGATACATAAGTATGCAACAAGCCATCACTTTTCTTCAAGACTTCAAACTTGGTCACTACATGAAGATTCCACCTAGAACCATGTTCATGGCACAGGTTACAATATAATCTCTATTGTCAACTAGTTTATATATACGACTCACTTAATGTCATTATAAGTTATAATATGTTCATAATTTATCGGTTTTAGATTGTTGGAACACTCATCTCATGTTTGGTTTACCTCACAACGGCTTGGTGGCTAATGGAGACAATCCCCAACATATGTGATTCGGTTTCTAACTCGGTTTGGACTTGTCCATCCGATAAAGTCTTCTACGATGCATCCGTTATATGGGGACTTATTGGACCTCGTAGAATCTTTGGAGATCTTGGTTTATACAAATCCGTTAATTGGTTCTTCCTTGTCGGCGCTATAGCCCCGGTTCTTGTATGGTTAGCTTCAAGGATGTTTCCTAGACAAGAGTGGATCAAGCTTATAAACATGCCGGTTCTTATAAGCGCGACAAGCTCGATGCCACCCGCAACAGCCGTGAACTACACAACATGGGTTCTTGCCGGATTTTTATCCGGATTTGTTGTGTTTAGGTACAGGCCAAATCTATGGCAGAGGTATAATTATGTTTTGTCAGGGGCATTGGATGCTGGATTAGCATTTATGGGTGTGTTGCTATATATGTGTTTGGGACTTGAGAATGTGAGTTTGGATTGGTGGGGAAATGAGCTTGATGGTTGTCCTTTGGCCTCTTGTCCAACCGCCCCTGGTATTATTGTTGAAGGTTGCCCGCTTTATACTTAAAACGTATTTGCGACTCGATTCGATTGGGAAATGGCGAAGGCATTTCCAATGCTAGAGTTTGGTGGCTGGATTTGGTGCATCTGTTCGTAAAGATCATTTTTTACCTCTCATATACAGTATGAGATTGTTGTTTATAGTGTAAAGATGGTTCATTAGTAGGGTGACGCTATTCAACTATTCGATTTGATTATTTCAGTTTCTTTTAAGTTGGTCTTGAGTTTTCGAAATTTCATTATCAATTGAAACTTTGTTTTCCTAGTTCGGTTCAATTTTGGTTAAAAGATAAAATGCTATGTTTTCCGTCCTTTAAAGATTTATGGGTTTAGGCCTAGAACCTCTTCATTATTTGAAAAAAAATGCAACCTGTAATGAATTTATGCGGACCCAATTGGATTATTGTATATCCACAACATATTAACCAAAATGGTATAGAAGATGTTTCAAAACAATATAATACTACCACTATGACCATTATTAGTATAAACGAATATATATATTTCAACACCAATATATCTTATAACTTGTCTCTTCTTAGTTATTGGTAAATAGATTTTGGTTTTAGGTAACCATAAAACTTAGGAGCAAGGACGGCCTTCTCTTCTTTCACATTGGCACCAATGATAGTCCTTGTTTTGTCGCTTATCGTCATTGCACTGGCAACTAGAAATAGTGTTGAGCACTTTTTTAGGAAATGACGTCTTACGTTCAACTTCACTAAAACAAAACTTAGCTCTGTCGGTTCCACATTTTCCGAATCCATGCACTCCAATCGGACATGGTTTTTTTTTCGCCTGACCTATTTTCAATCAAGAAATATATAATAATTGTATTAATAAATAGATAATGTTTTCGAATCTCTTGCATAAAGTATTAAACTTACCTTTAACATGATTCATAACGAGAAATATGAGAAAACAGAGAACTATAAATGAAGTAGCATGTCTCATGATTCAAATTTATTGAATAGAAGGTTGTTTATCTTACTTGTGAGAAGGTAGTTGGCATCTTAATAAATATACTTAACATATACTAAAAATAGATTTTTGTTAAATTAGAATTGTGGCAGGGGAAAAGTCAACGAGATAGAAACAAGGTGATTTTGTGGAGATAAAAAATTAATATAAGTATTCAGGTAATATGGATAGTAGGATTTTATTTTTGTCTCCAACCAGAGATAAATAAAATTTACAAACTGGTTGAAGGTACAAGAAAATCACTATTTTTGTGCATGGGAAAAAAGTCTTTAACTTTTTAGATGAGCAAAAAAGCTAAGTAACAATTATCAATTGTTCGTCAATTGAACTGACCCTTACGCACCGACAAAAAAAAACAAGGTGACGGTTATTAAATACAAACGGTTTTATTTAAAAAATTTCAAATTTGAATCAGTAACGAAAACTTGTAGACGGGAATTAAAAAATGTAAACAACTAGTCTAACTGTATGGATACCCAATAAATAGTTCTTAAAAAAATTTTAAACAACTAACCTACTTGCATGGAAACCTAATGAATATATTACATAATTTTGACATTTGTAATAGATAACCACATACATAGAGCGTTAGAAATAATTATAGTGCTAAGCCTTGTTTGAAAAATCGCTAGGCGCTAGTGGGGCGTTCGACATGGGCCTAGCGATTAATCGGAAAATCGGATTAAAATCGGGGATTAGTTTTAGGGTTATTTTAATATTTTTAAAACATATTAATCCAATATTATTTTCAAAATTGCAGTAAATACATAAAAATGTATTTTTGAGACAAATTTTTATGATTTTTATTACAAATTTATGATTTTTATTAAAATTTGAACATAAGTTATTGTAAAACATTACAAACTCCCAATTCAAATGATTGAATAACAAAAATAAAAAAGTTTTTTTATACTAGCAATCTAAAAATAATCGGGGTATGTAAGATTAGGCGGGAAATAATCGGATTAGGCGGAAAGTACTAATCGGATTAGACGGAGAGTAATCGGGTGACTGATTTCTTTAGGGGATTAGTCATTAATCGAGGCGGATAGGGTCGGCCTAGCGATTAAGCGGAGAGTAATCGGGTCTAGGCGGGGATTTTTAGAACAGAGACTGCTAAGTAATTGGGTCTATGTATACATGTAAATATATAACGTTATTAATATTTGTATACATGTAAACACGTACATGAAGCGTTATTAACATTTGTATACATGTAAATACATACATAGAACGTTATTAACATTTGTATACTTGTATGCATGCTACAACGCATATGTTACAATCATCTTATTCTAAACCGTCGAACAGAGCAAGTAAACAGTGCATCATAATTGGACATTGAAATATCATTGGAATAATAAGTTTTGTCGGATTTTCAATGAAATTTCACCGGTTTTCATCGAATTGTCATCGGATCTTCCTGGATTCATCAAAAATATATGATTATTTCTCATCAGCGTCACCCACGTACATGTGAAATTTATAAGTTTTGGAAATAAATGCAAATGCATATGTGCAATCATAATTATTTATTGGTATAGTTTTGAACTATTTTTACATGGAATTTTATTTGTTGATTTTATATTTGAATCAATTAGTGGTGGAGGTTGCAATTCACCCCCAACACTAGCAAGATGAAGTAATCAATATGGTTACATAGACATAAATGTTAGTAAAATACACAATACGAATAATTATGATAAAAAAACAAGAACAAAATATGTAACAGATGATTTTCGCAAGAAAAAAAAAAACTATGGTGACAGATGCGAGCCTAAATAAAAAGGTAGAGAAAAAAGTTATAATGAGTAGATTTGACATTTACAAAAAAATGTTTATAAAATTATAAATACAATATATATTTTACAAAAAGTTATGATTTATAAACACATTTTTTTGGAGAAGTGCTTTTAATCACGTGATTAACGGTCATCTATGCTATTTTTTTTCGGAATTTGACTCCAGCAAATTAAATTACTTTCCGAAATAAAAATTGTGCAATAGCTCGAGTTTTATCAATCCAAATAAAGTAAAAGGAACTGAAATCATAATCTTTAAAATCATATACTAAAGTAGTTGTTATTAGTAAATTCCTTATAACTTTTTCTTACATTTTTAAAACATCCTACAATTGTCTAACTAGGCACCCAAAAAAGATTTTTACCAGGAAAACGGCCAAAATCAACCCAACTATTTCGATACGGCTTTTTTCAACGGAAACACTGACCTGCACTTATCAACCCGAAATCACAATTTTTAAATAACAAACCTGAACTGTGTAACCGTTAGCCAATTTCAACATAGTTTTTTTTTTTTTTTGTAGTTGTTAATGTTGATAAAATGTTAAGTCATAATTATATGTTCTTTTGTTTCTGAATTATTCATTTTATTCAATTGGTTAAAGCTTACATAATTCAAGTTTTTTATATTATTTAATAACGGGTATATGTTAAAATTGGCCAAATGGTTACATAATTTAAGTTGTTATTTGAAATTTATATTGTTGATAAATACAGAAAATCAAAATTTAGATTGAAAAAGCCTCATATAAATAGTTTGAATTGATATTGACGGTTTTCCCCATTTTTACCGTTTTTTTGCTATCAACTTATCATATTGGATTTAAATATGATCGTCCTTTAAAGTTTTTGTGACCTAGAGTCTCGGTTTGGAAGATGGTGAAGTTAGAGTCTCGGTTTTTCAGCTGGGACTATTCATAGAAGAAAGCCAGTGTCGAAATTCTTTAGGGAATGATGGTAGTGGCTTTTGGATCGCGAGCATTTGTGCTCGTCCTACTTGCAACCTCCCTTTTCAGGGATCAGGAGTTTTCACACTTCAGGGGCAAGTTTGGGCAAAAGCTTTCAAATTCTGCAAAAGTCTTTGGAGTTGTTGCATTAAAAAGATGGTGGCCTGTCATAGGTTATGCATCCTTTGGACCGGATGGTCTCATTCCGAGAGGACACTCTCTATCTTTTGGATTGTTAGAATCTCTTATCATTTGCTTTGTATTAGTTATTTTGCTTTTTGTTGTTCCGTCCGGGTTTTAAAGTTAGTTCTGCGAACAACTTCCCGTGGGTCTCTATCTATTTTTACCCATGTAAGTTGTATGGTTCATGTTAGGCTCTTCCTAGAGTTACATGATTCTGACTTAATGAAATGGGTTTTGGCTGGCAAAAAAAAAGAAAAAAAAAAAAAAAGTTTTTGTGACCTAAAAAGGCTAAAACTACTATCTATATTGTACGACATCGTTTTAGTCACTTGCTTGCTAAAACCCTTTAAACTTTTCTTTTAAGCTTAAGACCTGAAAAAAGTCTCTAACTTGAATTCTTTTGTTTCGAAGCCATGGAAACTGAATCGGATGACGCCACCATTACCGTCGTCAAAGACATGAGAGCTCGATTAGAGAATCGAATTCGAACCCAACACGACGCTCACTTAGATCTTCTTTCGTCACTCCAATCCATTGTTCCCGACATAGTCCCATCTCTCGATCTCTCACTCAAACTCATCTCTTCTTTCACCAATCGACCTTTCGTCGCTACACCTCCATTACCCGAACCCAAAGTTGAGAAGAAGCATCATCCAATTGTTAAATCAGGAACCCAACAGCAACAATTACATGGGCATGATTCAAAATCGATGCTTGTTGATTCGAATCAGAGAGATTCTGGTTCTGGTGTTGAAGCTGATGGGTCTAGTGGAAGTCCTATGGTGCTTGTTAGAGCTATGGTTGCTGAGTGTTTGCTTCAACGAGTACCTTTTTCGCCTACGGATTCGTCTACTGTGCTTAGGAAGCTTGAGAATGACCAGAATGCTAGACCGGCGGAGAAGGCGGCGTTAAGGGATTTAGGCGGTGAATGTGGACCGATTCTTGCGGTGGAAACCGCGCTTAAATCGATGGCAGAAGAGAATGGTTCTGTGGAATTGGAAGAGTTTGAGGTTAGTGGGAAGCCTAGGATCATGGTTTTGGCTATTGATAGAACTAGATTGCTTAAAGAGTTACCAGAGAGTTTCCAGGGGAATAACGAATCAAATCGGGTTGTCGAAACACCTAATTTGGTTGAGAATTCAACAGTTTCTGCTGGTGGGTTTGGGGTTTCAGGGTCGGGTAATTTCCCGAGGCCTGAGATGTGGGGAGGTGATCCTAATATGGGGTTTAGGCCTATGATGAATGCACCAAGAGGAATGCAAATGATGGGAATGCATCATCCAATGGGGATAATGGGTAGACCACCGTTTCCTTTGCCTTTGCCGTTGCCTGTACCGTCGAATCAGAAGCTTAGAAGCGAAGAAGATGATTTGAAAGATGTTGAAGCTCTTTTGAGTAAGAAGTCTTTTAAGGAGAAGCAACAGTCAAGGACTGGTGAGGAGTTGCTTGACCTTATTCACCGTCCAACCGCTAAAGAAGCCGCTACCGCTGCTAAGGTGAACCCAACTAACTTTTAGTCTTTAGTTAAATATATGGTTTTTAATACAAATCTATATGTGAATCTAAATGTGAGTTTAGAAGCTCTCAAAAGGGATTGAGGAGTACAAACGTAGTATAGTTCACAGCGGATTAGATAAGTTATCTCGATTCAAAGATAATGTATGATTCTTGAACAAGTTTTGCAGAAGTTATGAGCCATTTTATAGTTTGTTATCATGATTATAGTGGAGCAGATACTATGCCATTTTGTGTTTACGTAGTTTGTTTTGAGTAAATAGTTTCAGGCTGTACCGTTCTCATCATTTTTTGCTGAACAGAGAAATCTGTGTGTATGCCATGGTTAGGTCTTAAGAATTGGAGTTCTCAGCATTGTGTTGGAATTACAGTTGGGTGAAAAGCAAAGAGCTATATAACTAAGATATCTGTTTCTTGGGTTTGTTAGCTGATCGTTATGGTCCTATGTGGCCAGATGTTTTGAAAGCGAGGAGCCTTCTATTAAAAATTATCACCTTATGAGATCTAGATGCTTAATGTTTATAACCTGTTTTTAACTAGTTATCACATTTTACAAAACTTGTGTGTTTGGTCTCTCAGTGTGGGGTTGAACGTTTTTGATACATGGTTTCTACTTTCTAGTTTCAATTATCACCTTTCTTTGTGTGTTTGTGGTGACTTTCTCTCTTGGTATCTTGTGAGACCCTTGCCACTGTTTCTAACCTCATCTCTTCTAGGTGTTATGTTTTGTTAGTTTTCATTTCATCTTTTAATAAACATCTTGGATCTTGTGATTGACCGTAATATTGTTATGTTCCTTACAGTTTAAAAGCAAAGGAGGATCACAGGTCAAGTATTACTGTAGGTATTTAACTAAAGAGGATTGCCGTCTTCAGTCTGGTTCTCACATAGCCTGCAACAAGGTTTGAACCAACTCAAATTTTACATTTCATATCTTATTTGATTGATATTTCAGAATGTTATATTGTTAGAATTCCATAGAGAACAAATTGAGATTGGTTTTCAAGTCAAGTTTTGTTTGTTATCTTTGCGAGGTTTATAATGATCTCTTGCTATGGTGTCTATGTTGCTTTGCTGAAATATACTTAGTTCTTATGACTTATATATGCTTTCAGAGACATTTCCGTCGACTAATAGCTTCACATACCGACGTTAGCCTAGGAGATTGTTCCTTTCTCGATACTTGTCGTCACATGAAGGTAACTCATTAGCAATATTATCTGACAGTACTTCGGTTATTGTTGTGTAGATAAATGGTAACTGAGTAACCATTATCTTGAATGTGGACAGACTTGCAAATACGTGCATTATGAGCTCGACATGGCTGACGCTATGATGGCTGGTCCAGACAAGGCATTGAAGCCACTACGTGCTGATTACTGTTCCGAAGCTGAACTTGGTGAGGCACAATGGATTAACTGCGACATCCGCTCTTTTCGAATGGACATTTTGGGAACTTTTGGAGTTGTTATGGCGGATCCGCCATGGGACATTCACATGGAACTTCCATATGGAACAATGGCTGATGACGAGATGCGCACTCTCAATGTTCCCTCGTTGCAAACTGACGGTTTGATTTTCCTCTGGGTCACTGGTCGTGCAATGGAGCTAGGCCGTGAATGGTACTTACAAAAATCTCAACACATTTGAAGTATCATGTGATTTCCATTTAAATGGAGTTTTCTTCTTTTTGTAAAGTTTGGAGCTTTGGGGATACAAAAGAGTGGAAGAGATCATATGGGTAAAGACGAATCAGCTTCAACGTATTATTCGAACAGGAAGAACAGGTCACTGGCTTAATCATAGCAAAGAACATTGTCTGGTTGGAATCAAAGGAAACCCAGAAGTGAACAGAAACATCGACACAGATGTGATTGTTGCAGAGGTTAGAGAGACAAGCCGGAAGCCAGACGAGGTTTGTCTATAATTGCCCACATATTACCAAATCGTTTCGAATTAGTATATGATTCTCGAGTCTTGTGTGATGAGAATGCTTTGTCAACTACCAGATGTATGCAATGTTAGAGAGGATCATGCCAAGAGCAAGAAAACTCGAGTTATTCGCTCGTATGCACAATGCTCATGCCGGGTAAAGCTTTCAAACTTTTTACTGTCATATGATTTTGTTGTCCTGAATCTTACGAGTCTACTGTTGTTTATAGATGGCTATCACTTGGGAACCAGCTTAACGGTGTCAGATTAATAAACGAAGGTCTTCGAGCTCGATTTAAAGCATCATACCCTGAAATAGATGTCCAGCCACCATCACCACCAAGAGCCTCTGCAATGGAAACAGAAAACGAACCAATGGCTATTGACTCAATCACAGCGTAGTTCAATTCAAAAAAACCAGAGCCAAAAGCTTTGTTGGATTCATGTTGCTTTGGTTTTGAAACATTTGTTGTGGCATCATGATTTTGTAAATCTTTAAGGAAAATTAAAGGAAACAACATCAACGAAATTTGAAATTTGCTTATTCGCTCCAATACTTCTCATCATCAACATCTTTATCATGTTCCAACGAATCCTCACCGTCCGATTCATTGACCAAACCCATCTTGAATCTCCTCACATCTTCAACAGCAGCATTCCTAAACAATCCAACATCAACAGCTCCGGCGACCATATGATAACCACGTCCCCGGATGTCAACAGCTCCGTCGTGCGGCATTGCGAAACCCGACAAATAAGCCCCGCCTTTAGCCGGATCAGACGTCAGCACCGATTTCTCAGCTTTCTTCATCATCTCTCTCACTTTCTTATGTCCAGGATCCCACAAATACCCCAAACTCGCACTAAGATCCAACGGTCCCATTTGCACACAGTCAACACCATCAACGGCTGCGATTTCATCAGCTTTCTTCACTCCTTCAGATGATTCCACCTGGCACATGATCAGAATCTCCTCTGCGTAATTACTTAAATACCCTTCGTCGATTCCGTAGTTTGAAGCTCGCACCACCGTGTGCGCCGATCCACGGATTCCGTCGGGAGGAAACCGGCAATACGACACCGCTTTGGTAGCGTCTTTACGAGATTCGATCATTGGGAACATGATTCCTTGAGGACCTAGATCTAGGGCTTTTTTAGCCCAGGTTGGGGAGTTTTCCGGTAATCGGAGAATGGCTGATGTTCCGGCGGCGTTAAGAGCTCGAATACAATCCAAAGCTTCCGGTATACCGCCGGGACCGTGTTCCATGTCAACAACGACGTAATCGTAACCGGCGTGAGCAGCGATCTCGGCTAAAGTCGGCGAGAAGGAGAGTAAAAAGAGGCCGTAGAGAGTTTCTCCTCCACGGAGACGAGATTTCAAGGAGGTTTTGGATCGATTCGTGATCGCTTCCACGGCGGCGGCAGGTGAGTGATCGGTGGGAGAGGAAGAGTATCGGATTGGAGTTAGGGTTTTGCGAGAAAATGAAACGGAGGATTTGATTGAGCTGAACTTTGAAGGAGATAATGATTTTCCGATGATCAGAGAAGATGGATTAAGCAGAGGTTTCACATCTGCGGTGACGACGACGGCGGCGGGGAAGATTGAAGCGGTGGCCATGGCGGTGAACTTGGGAAGTATCGAAGAAGTGGTAAAAGTGTTTTTGCTTTCGTATGACCAAAAAAGAAATTAGTACTCACTTATTAGCGTTTTCGGGATAGAAACTTAAACTGCATGCTGTTTTTTCTTCGAAAAACGACAAAATGTTATTTAGGGTTTTTACAAAAAGCCCGAGTAGATTCTGAAGCCTTTTTAATTAGCCCAACTTCATTTAGGGTTTCGACTTTTCTTGTTCTACAACCTTATGAGTCGCAAAAGGTTTCTCAAGGTCTCTTGTATCAACTTGAAACAATGACAACGACGATGTCAAATCTTCCAAATGATTTGGTAGAAGAGATTGTCTCTAGGGTTCCTCTAAAATCTATGAGAAAAGTGAGATTAACATGCAAAAAATGGAATGCTTTGTTCAAAAGCCGGAGTTTTACGAAGATGAATATTGGGAAAGAAGAAGAAGCAGCAAAGGAATTAGGAGAGACTCGGATGATCGTGATGATGGATTACAATGTTTATTTAATGGGCATCATCGTCAATGAAAATCCATCCATAGAGTCTTTAGGTAAACTTACTTGTCTACATGATTCAGAACAAGTCAAGATATCTCAAGTCTTTCATTGTGAGGGTTTATTACTATGCATCTTAAAAGACGATAATACTAAGATTGTGGTTTGGAATCCGTATTTGGGGCAAACAAGGTGGATCCAAACCAGAAAGCATTACCATGCAAGTGGATGGGTAAGACTAAATGTTTACAATTACTCTCTCGGATACGAAAATAATAGTGAAAATCGTAGCCTCAAAATCTTGAGGTTTACAAATGATTTCCGTTATCACTTTCCCGAAAACGTCGCTTTATGGTATGAAATCTACGATTTTGATACTGATTTATGGACTACTCTTGATGTCTCTCCACACTGGCGGATAATATCTAACTGTGGTCTTTCTCTCAAAGGAAACACTTACTGGGGCGCTGTAGAACTGAATGCATCCGCACATCATATAATTTGTTTTGATTTCACAATAGGGAGATTTGGACCGCTTCTACCTCTGCCGTTTAAGGCGTGGCGTTCAGATTTTACGCCACTATCTTCGGTTAGAGAAGAGAAGATTGCAGCTTTATTTCAGGCAAGAGAAAAGATTGAGATATGGATTACGACTAAGATTGATGCCAAAAATGTGTCCTGGAGCAAGTTCGTCACACTATTTATACCATACCTTGACCAGAATCTTTCATATAAGAGTTTCTTCATTGATGAAGAGAAGAAAGTTGTTGTGGTTTTTGATAACGAAAGAAAAGTCAGGCAAAACACCATTATTATCATTGGAGAGGCTGGAGGCTTGAGGAAATTGGAGCTTGGAGAACTCGTAGACAAAAACTGTTGGCCACTTGTGTGCTCGTATGTTCCAAGTATAGTGCAAATCAAGCAACATAATGGAGGGCAAAAGAAAAAACAAAGTGATTAGGAAAGGCATCGACATCAATCTGTTCAAAACATGTTGAGACATGACAACAAATCAAGCAAGAGGAGGTGGCAAAAGGAAAAAACAATGGAAATTTGATTAGTCTCAATTTACAAAGTCTAGTTTATATGTCTTTCATTTACCCGGTTTTTTCTTTTAGCAATATTAGTTTGTTTCTTCTCATCTATTGTTCTATGTGAACAAAATTTTATGTTTTACTTTTTAATTTTTACAAAACCGCTAGGTTATCCATTAAATGACTAGTTTGGTCTGAAATATCACATCCATCTCCGGAGGTGGTTAATGCAAATTACAAGTATAGAAGAATATGTGTACTTGTCTCATACATTCATTTTGCACTTGATGAGATTGTGTTGCAGCTTCTGACTACGGGTATGTGGTTTATTCCTTACATTGTTTCATGATTTGAAAGTTGGTTAAACATATGTTATGGTTTCTGCACTAAAAGAGCTTAATCATGACCATGAATATGAGAGTATCCCATACCATATTAAAGAGATGTGTTTTAGGATTACAACTTTAGAAGATAGAGATACTCGATTTGGTCTCTTAAAAAAGTAAACAATTTTGAACCACATCCATATTTTTCTAATAAATTACATAAATGATAATCCACAATTAAAAGATAGGTTAAGAGATTTGAAAAGCATTTCTATGCAGAGTTAGGTTCTCTCATGCTCCCACATTGTAATGATCATGTTGTCCTCTAAAAATCTGTCTGCTGGAATTGGAATCGTTGCAGCTATCTTTTCCTTCAAACTTGCCAAGTTTTCTGTTAACGACAACAGTGTGATCTTAATTAATGACATTGGCAACATAATCCCTAATTGTAACTCCTAATTAATTATTAGATACAACTCAGACGAATAAAATAATTACTTTACTCTTTGAATTGAGGTTTTTCACAACAATTACCTATTTGATGAAAAAAATACATTATAAGCTAATTTTCAACTTCTTTCATTATTTTTGTACGTAAAAAACAAAATAAAATAGTATTCTAAAACATACATTTGTTAATTAATATCAAAAAAATTTAATCTATAAAATAAAAATAAAAATGAGAAAAAATCAAACATTTTTATTTCCAAATATATACTTAAGATAAATTTACGAGAAAAAATATTTTTACCTAAGATCTCTATTCGTTTTCTTAACAAAACATAAACTCAAAATTATATAAGGTATTAAATATTTATGAACGAATAGTACTATTTTCATAATATTTTCTGTTATATTTCGTTAGAATTTACTTTTATCAAATAATTACTTTTACAACCAAGTATTTTTATAAGAAAAATTTACAATATCATTTAAGAAACAAAATCACCCCATGCTTGCATAACATGTGATAGAACCTAGTGAATTTTAGGGCGTTATGTAAATAACAAATATTTAATATATAATCAAGCCCTATATATATTCACGTTAATTCTCAAGTACTAAACATTCTCTAGGTCTTGAGATCGCTCGTTATGCTTAATTATGGTATATAGTTTGTTAGCATAAGTATTTTTGCAGTTGCTTAAGGACACAAGTTATTATGATGCATGTCCATTCTATGTTCTTATGAATCCAACAAACAACCTTTTTGCAGATTTTGGTGCTTTGTTAGATGATGTTGAACCTTTTCGACGATTGGTTAGGAAGCTTATGTATCTCACTATCACTCGTCCTTACATATCTTTTGTTGTAAACAAGGTTTGTAGTTCTCCGATCCTCAGCACCTACATAACCTCATATACCAGCTGCTCACGAAGTTCTAAATTACCTTAAAGAGAATATTGGGAAGGCTTATTTATTCTGCTGATGATGATATTTACGTAAAAAAGCTTACGTGATTCAAACTAGACACAATATCATGATATTCGAAGGTCTTGCACTAGCTTTTGCATATTTATTGGTCAATATCTGGTATCTTAATTGGAAATCAAAGAAACAATAGATTGTCTCTAAATCATTTGCGAAAGCAAAATATAGAGGCATGTCCTACAAAGTTGGTGAAATTGTTTGGCTGGCTCGGATGCTCACAAATTTAGGTGTTCAGATTAATTGAATGTTGTTATTTCTCCAATTCATCGTTTTAGGTAGCTAGTGTTGGTCTATCAACAATTACTTTTAATGCATGTAACTTTCTGATGTACATTGTCGTACAATCGAATATTATGGCTTTATTTTTCTATTTTCGTAAAGCACAAAATACTTAGTAAGTCGAGTTATTCTATTATGGGCGTGATTGGAAGCTGCTGTAGAAGCTGTCCACAGCCATATTATTATCTAAAGCCATTAATCTACAGCAATCAGACTTTACACATATTTTAAAATTCTACATCCACTTTTCATATCTTTCCTTTTTTTTGGCTGTAGAGAACCATAAACCTACAGCACTAATATTTTGGCTTTGAAAGATTTAAAGGAAAATTAATTAATTTCTCTCTCCTATCTTTTATGCTTTTTTGACGTAGAAGCATATATTAGTTATATACATATAATTCTACAAATATCATCTACTTTATATATACATAAAAAACTTCATGTAGTCATTTATAAAAATAATGACTATCGGTATATATTTTTTTGGTCTAGCTATTATTACAACTTTATCTCTATTATATATATATATATATATTTTTTTTTATTTATAACATATATACTAACTTTTAATGTATATGTATATAAATTATGATATATATATATATATATATATATATGTATATGTTAAATATTATATTTTTACCATCTAAATATATATTTAATTTATAATTTCTTGTAATTTATATTCTTATTAACTTAAAATAATAATTTTATAACTAAGACAATAAAATACAGAAGTCTACAGCATACAACTGACCAATCAGACTTTCATTTAGAAAAGTTACAGCTGCATTAAAATTCTACAGACAACATTTTAAAGCCACAGCAAAAAAACCTACAGCTTAAATTCTACAGCAGAAAATATAAAGCTACAGCCGGAACCAATCAGGCCCTATGTCTTGTGGACAATAAATAAGATGATGTAAGAACGAAATTACACGAAAAAGCAAGGTTTATCGACACATTTCTAGAATGCTAGTGAATGGTTAGTAACTTTCTCAGACTTTGATCAAGGAACTATGTTTTGCTTTTTCTTTTGAGGTAAGTTGAAAATGAGCATATTTTCTCCATATGAGCTGACAAATCTTTTCCTAGTTGTCGAAGCTAAACATATGATGACACAATTGTATATTTTTGAATATTTTTATATGTCAAAATAAATTATAACTATTAATAAACACAAGACGTAACTTAATTCAGAAATGTTCATACACATGAGAGACAACAAGATTCTTCCCTGAAATATATCTTTGAATGCATTAATGCAATATTCATAGTTTTATCACTTCATTGATTCCGAAAGTCTCGGCTTTTGTTGATGTCGATGGACTGATTGATTTTGCTTCCATGTTTTTTATCCTTTTTTTGCCATGGGACCAAGCTGTAGGATTTGCCTCGTGTAACTCCTAAAACTTTTCATTTTTATGAAATATTAACATTTTTAGCAAAAAAAAAAAAAAAAAAAAAAAAAAAAAAAAATCATAGTTGGGATCTTATACCTTTTTATATAAAAGAAAAGAT